AAGTGGCACCATCGAATTGATTTATGAAATCTCACACTTGTAACTTAGTCCCATTCATGTTTCTAAATATTTCAAAAGGAATTTAAGAATGAGTCATTTAAAGGAATTTGTCCTATCTTCAATCTTCGAGAAAGGTAAAGAGAAAGGTTAGAATTGAAATAACATAAAAAAGTTAAATTAATTAAAAATGTTACGCAAATGTTCCATGACAGTGTCTGGTTGACAAAGTCAACCAGCAGCAGCATCAGACATTCACTTTAATTATGTCATAAAACGTCAACGATGAAGTTTGAAAGCATGCTACTTATATCGACAGTTTATTGAGTGAATGTCTCATTATCTTGTAGAGCTTGATTTTATTGCAAATATTCACTGATAAGCTCAATATTGTTAAATACATTAAATTACTCATATTTACAACTGACGCTCACAGCTTAACTCATACATTTATGATGAAAGCTTTGCTTACTCTTTTCGGTATAATAAATGTGTAATTTGTTTAAGTTTTATTTCTATCATTTAGATATTACTATGTTTTGCGCTTTATAAAGACACTGAATGTTGGAAAGCAATCAAAGTCCGAACCAGTATATAAGATGACTCGTTAGACACGCTTTTTAAAAATGGTGTTTAACAATAATAAAATATTTTTTGTTTATATTTCTGTCTCACTCGTAAGTAAGCTTCGCAATCAGCCAACTTGGTGTCGAATGTGAAGCTTATCATTTTAATTCACTTTGAGTCGTACGCCAGCGTTTGGCTTCATTTTTTTTATTTATATTTTTTATTTCGATATCAATTTCAATTAAGATACATTTTTCAGCTATAAACTTCAATATTTCAATTAATAAATTTTGTGATAAAGATGATTGTTGACGTGGTGAAGGAGAAAAATTTTTTATTTCACTCTTGTTTGGTTTAATGTTTATGGACTTAATGAAAGTAAAATTTCCGATTGCCATTAAAGCTGTTATTCGGTAGTCAGAAAGTTAAAGCATAATAAAATGATTGGGTATTTAAAGTTGATTACCGAAGTTGATTTTAAAGACTTTTACATGCATTTACTTTATGCTGTTTCCTTCGTGCGAAACGATTTTGTTTTTTAATTTTGCTATTAGTAAAACACGCAATGTAAGTTAATTCAAAAGCTTTTTAATATTTTTCATTCACTGAACTTTTGATGTGAATAAGGAGTAAAGATTAAGGTTAAATAAGAATTGGGATCTGTTGCAGTTAAGGCTGAGAGTTTTCTAAGCCCTGATTTTATTATAATATTAAAAGGTTTGAAAAAGTAACCTAATGAGATATTCACTTAATCATCTTATGGGTGGAGTTCAGCAAATCTTTTCTTTATCATTAATTTTTTTAGCATAAATCGTGCTTCGTTTCAAGACTCCATTGCTCTTTAAAATTCCTTCTTACGAAGGTTTGACTTCCATCTAGTCGTGACTTTTCTTCAGTATTCCAATAATATAAGAAGCATGAACAAAGAATCGGAAAATAAAATTAACTAAATCCCCACCATATTCATCATGATACCAGACACAGCGGGGAACAATTAAGGCGTTGATGCTTTCGATGCTTTGTTAATCTGTAAGAATATACAACGATTTCAGGTTTAACTGCTCGTTTCATGGATGAATGCTTTTGCTCTTTTTTACTTGCCAATTTCAATGTGCAATAAATTAAAGAGAATCTTTGCATGCTGTTTTGCTTCATTCGCGTAAATGTTGTGGCGAGAGTAGAAGCTTACAAAGCAAGAAAACTGGGCAAAAGCGGTCAAAAGAGATAATGGAAAGATTCTTTTATGTCGCGAAGTTCGAAGCTAAAAGCATCATATATTATACAGTTGAAAATATTTTATGTAAAGCAATGAGCGGGAAATTCCTTTTACATTTGCTGATTTATGTCTTGAGCGTGAAATTGAATCGTATAAAAGCGCGCGTAAATTAAAATTTTAATTATTTTCTTCTTTAATTTAAAATTACAAATTCATTTTGATGAAGAAAAGGAAGCCTTGAAGATTGACTTAATCCAGAAGATCAATTACTTATTGTAACGAATTGAATCGAATGCATCTTTCTCATCGAATCGAAAACAGATTTTAGACATTTAACGACCTTTCTCTGACTGCACTTAGAGGAAAGTCTGAGAAAAGTAAAGAAGATTTATGGGATATTTCAAGTGCAACTTTTACAAGAATCATTAAGATCATAAATGCAGACAAAGATGCAGGCAGTGAACATGTGCTTTGTTCATTTCAATATTTTATTTCTAATAATTTGTCATGAGTCAACATTATAGAAAAGTACTTGAGATTCCAATCCCACAATCATTCCTTGTGGTGACTTCTGTGTGGCTTTCTCACAAAAGAATTTCATGTCAGTAAACTTTCTTTGTTGTGACAGGAAATAATTTTCTGTAAAATCTCTAATTCAATGAATGCATCAAACCTTTTAATTCGACTTTAAAAATGGCCTTTTCATCATGGCAGAATTTATTGCTGGATTAAATCGCCAATGACCGCTTCCATCGCGTCACTTCATCTAAAATCTTTCTAAGTTATCGTTCACGTCGCGGTGTTTTTATAAAATAAAATAAAATATTAATCTCCAATCAATCTGTTAAACATGTTTTATTCTGTTCCATCTTCCGAAAAAAAAAATTAATTTCAATTTTCCATTTAAATTCCATTCAAAGTTCTACATGCATCATTAACAAACAACGTCGGTGAAATTCTAAAGGGTGCCTTCGCTCCTTACTTCAGCTTTTCTTCATGACCGGCGCCAAAATATTCAAATTTCTCGAATGCGCTTTAACTTATGAGAGAATCGTTTCAGTTCTTGTTTTTTAAGGGCTAAAAGAGACGACAGATTGAAAATGAATTCTTTGAAAAGTCGTAAAATATTTCCAGATCTTATAAAGTGAAAGTTTTGGCTTCATCTCTATTTATTATATTTACCAGAACTCACTGATCTAGTCAAGTGTTGTGATCATTAAACATCTTTGTTTAATCCTTTTTATGCTTAAATGTTGAAAGGAAAAAATGAATCCAAATGAAAAATTCTGAAGAAGAATCAATTTCTTGGCGACACTTTATTTCTTTCACAATACAAAAAATCCATTAAATGACAATAAAAGTTTTATATTCCAAACAGACATTGTGAATCACCGCGATGGAATTTTCATCTAAGTATTGTCGTTCGTCTTTTTGGCTTTCCGTTGAGGTATTTGAATTATATAAAGTAAGAATTAAGAATTCTTCGTTTCTTAAACATTAAGCGATGAATAAATTTTCACAAGAAAAAAAAAGAATAAAGCTTAATCCTGATTTATGTACAAGTGAGACATTAGGAAAAAGTTTTCGAGACTGTCTCCTAACATTTAAAGTTTAAAAAAAGTTAAGTTTCATTTTTTGGCACAATTGCATTCAACTCTTGGCACTTTTATATGTACACAGTTCGGCACTCAAGTTCTACTACTTTTAAAAATTAATCGCTAGAATATTAAAATGCTTTATCTTATGTTTCAAATTAACAAAAAATTAAGTTTAATCATTAAGGATATGACGCAATATCATTGCGAATCTAATTGTTTGTTCTATCTGCTGTTACACTGGTAATGACACTATGACTTGTTGGAATATCGCCATGTCGATTCACATCAATCCCTATCGATGACGGAATTCTGTAATTAACAACAAACCTTATCATAAACGATGAGTTATCCAGAAAAGGCAAAACTTACGGCGCATGACGCAAATGGGACGATGCTTGTGACACATTAATGTAATGGTCATGAGCTGGCAAGGGTTGGGTGACGTGCATTTCATGATGTGGCATTTGAATTTGTGATGGCATCATTGGTGGTAAGATTTTTTCTAAAAACTCAAAAGAATTGTCGGTAAAGATTAAACGATTAGGAAAAAACAAAATGTAATTAATTTAACTCACCCATTTGTGGCTTCATTGGCGTTTGAGCTTTAGGCTTTCGCTTTCTTGTTTGAATTCCTTCCTTTTTCATCGTTAATGGTCGTGAGACATTATGAAGCTTGTAATAAAGTCCACATGCATTGCATACAGGCTCTCCCTGACTGTTCCGGCGCCACAATGTTGTTTGTGTCGTGTTACAATTGTTACAACTTAGTCCACTTCTTTTATTGCCTGAAACCTAACAAAGCAATGAAGCAAAGAAGAAACGACGAGAGAAGATCGATATTAGATATCGTCAATCTTTACATTTTAAATCAATTAATTCAAGAATGATAATTACAGCTGATGGTGCTTTCGCTTTCGGCATTCGATTTGTTGGACGTGGCACGTTGTTTTGTTTATTGTAAAGTGCACAGCGATTACACAAACTGTGACCAATGTTATCACGGCGCCACAGTGGTGTATCGGAACTTGCGCAATTTACCTACGACGACAAAATGAACAATTAAAAATTGAAGCAATGCAATGGCGAATAAATTAAATTCACTTACACATTCACGAAGATCATTTCCAATAATTGATGAATCATATCCTTCAGTCGCTATTGTGCCAATCTGCCATTGATGATGACCATTTGTAAGGTAGTCTGGTGGCGTAGGATTTTCAACAATTATCGTTGGTCCACTGAATCCCTTTAAATTTTCATTCATCAATTTGTGAGTTTAAATGAAGTTTTGAATTCAATTCACCATGTTTGATTACACTCTGAATTGAATTCAAATATTCATTTATACTCACAGAATTATAATCCAACGCTCCTGGCCATCCATATTGACCATCTGACTTGTAATAAACTTGATGCGAGACGGGAGGTGTAGGCTGCATAGCGTTGTTCTCATAAGCTTGAGTGTAGTGTGGTGGTTGATGTTTAGCTGAAATTGTAGAGTTTAATGATGGATCATCTAAATGTGAACAGGAAAAATGATGAAGAGACATTTTTTACAAGTACAGACAATGAAATGTATGTTTGCTTTCATCAAACGTTTATTTACTTTTATATAAGACGGGACTGCTTGGATGATAAACGTATGGACCTTCTTTGGAAGTTGGTGTTGGAAGATAAGTAAAACCATTGCTGTTTGACGGCTGATAACTGTCCGAAGAAATGTAATAAGAATTCTGTGAAGTTCCGACCGGTTCGAGGTTTGTGTAATGTGTCTTTGACTCGTTTCCTTGTTGATCGGAAATGTTGTTTTGTTCGTTATTTTGTTGATTATTTTGGTGATGATTTTGAGAGCCTTGTTCAGCTTCATAAATTTGAATTTCTTGTGGCGTTTGATGACCACCTTCTGCTTTTAATGTAAGTTCTCTTTGGTGATGTACAATGTGTGATGGATTGTGTGATGGCAAACCATGATAAGCGAAACGATGATAACGATCAGCCGACTCATAGCGAATTGGATTTGAAAGATATCTTCCTTGTTCGATGTTATCGTTCTTCAATTCAACGTAGACAGTCTGAGGTTCTGTGTTGACGACGTTGATTGTTGGCCCATTTCCGTTGTTGCTGTTATGTTCCTTCTCAATCAAAATATCTCGTTTTAATATGCCAGTCGCTTGAAGGTTTTCCGGTTGAGCGGCAATAGCAATTAATCCACCTGAAGTTGGTTCATAAGTGTACACATTTTGGTCATCACCGGATGCAGTGATCTGATATTGTTCGTATTGTTCAGTCTCTTCCTGACTTTGTGCGACGGAAATTTCCCTAATATGGCCTTGCGTTGTAATCATTCGTTGTCTTGTTGCAATTACCGTTGTTGGCAATGTTGCTGATGTTGGAATGATTTCCTGAACCGTAACCAATGGTGATGAGCTCGCAGCTGAAACTTCTTGCGCCTGCTTCTCGATTTTCGCATCGTCGGCGTTTCCTTCCGGTGTCATTCCTTGTTGGCGATCTGAAATATTTTCCACCTTTCCCTCACTAGTCTCAGCCTGTGTGTCCATCTAAAGATGAAAAAAAAGACTGAGAATTATTCAAAAATAAAAACCTTTTTTTTCATGAATGAACTAAAATTTCTCAAATGTGTCATAATTTCAATATTTACTCGAAGCGAACATATTCAACCTCATAACTTTTTTTTGTTGTAAGCGAAGAAAAAGAGAATTTAAAAACGTAGCATTTCCCATTGTTTGCTTTCTTGTGTTTCCTAATACAGAAAAAATCGTTTGCGCTCGCTGGGCAAACAAACGTCAATGGAACGTCTCGCGGTGATTTCCAGTCTTTAGTCATTTACGGCAATCCCATCCTGAGCCATCGTTTGCAAATTCATCGGAAAAGTTCAATGATTTCCAGTGAACTGAAACCTTGTTGTCAAGCTCATAATTATTCAACAATTAAACAGCATGGCGCGCGACCGCAATTAACACTTTTTGAATTTCAGAGAGATACAAATCTTTGTCTTATGTTTCACTCTTTTTCTTCACATCAACAACTCATAATTTGTTGCTGTTTTCTAGTTAAGAAAGTCATAAAACATTTCTCGTTCGAGACACGCAGGAAATGATTTGTTTATACGGGAAATATCACCTAAAGTCTTGCAAAGGAATTTAAGAGAAATTGAAAGTACCATCATCGCTCAATTCTTATGTTAACTTTTGACATGTGCTATGTAGACCGATTAACATTAAGCTGAATGAATAGTCAGATAAATAAAAACCACAGGAAGTTTGCATATTATCAAGTAGCTTTGTTCGAACAGATAAGTTTTAATACTTTTTTATGCCATGTGTTGATGTTTTCATTTTTATTTCTCTAGATATCAGGATAATCATAACCGGCTGATAATTTTTTGACGTTATGCTTTCTTTTCAACCCATTGTAACATAAGTAAACAAAAAACTAAATATATATAAGCGATAATGTATCTTTAAAAACAGCAGTTGCGATAAGTTAACATTTAACAATGATTATCTCATTTAACTGCAGCAAAACGACATTATCAGTAAACACAGTAATAGATTAAAAATGAATTTTTATCAATTTACAATGTCATTATCACGACAATTATATAAATAAATATTTTTTCAACCTTTTTTGGCAATGAAACAAATGAACTTTCAAGTCGTGCTTCCGATCTAATTCAATTTCATTCATAATCATATCTTCCTGAAGAAGTTATCTCTTACTAAATATTTGCCAAGAATCAACTTCAGATAAGACGATAATCAGACAATAAATAGAGAGAGAGAGAAAGAGACGTTATCGATTGGTAATCCGCCAGTGGTCTTTTGACACTTGTTACCGAACAAATATTGATGTGAATATCTCTTATCAGTTGATGAACTCATTGCAGTTGTTTCTGGTAAAATGTAAGAAGAATGGGAGATGAAGAAACATAATTAAGCAATTTCGATTCATATCTGAGGCTTGTAAATTTGTCTCTAAGAGCCCGTGTCCAAGAAACTTATCAACGACATGTCTATAGCCAGGTGAGTCTATTCTAATCTTTTGTCTGGTGCCCGGGAGAGCATAACTCTAGACATTCACGTTTCTTATCGTTTCACATCCCTCGAGCCTTCATTTTATATCGCAATGGGAATTCATAAAATTGTCTTTTATCTTAATTGATTTTAGACAATCCTGTGCGCTGAATGAAAGAGAATTTTTCATTTTTCAATTTTTCATTCTTCTTCCTTTCGTTACTTAAGAAAGCAATAAAATTGTGTGTTTTTTTTCTCCTTAATGTCCCAAATGATCGTGAATAATTAATTACGGAACGCGTCCAAAGTAATATTCGACCTCTCAGCGGCATCTTTTCTTTTCTTTCTACTCGTCTTATCCTCGCCGCGACACACAGAAGAATCATTAAAGATTCACAATTTTTATTGGCTCTCAATGCTCTTTGCGGCTTGGATTGTTACTCGTCGCAAATTTATTTTTCAAGCAACTTGAATCTCTTAAATACGAGGCGATTCTGTTTTGTGCCATAATGTTTTAAGCGCAACAGCAAAAGCAAATTCTCAAGTTTTGTTTCTTTCTTTTTTCCTCTGTCTGATTTTCGACTTTAAAAGACTTTTCAAGCCCCGACTGTGAATGGAGAAATAATGTAAAGAAAATTTTAATGCTGAATAGATGGAAAATAAATTCTGGGATGATTTTTTAGTTGTTTAAAATTTTAAAGAATATTTTGGTTGAGAAACTTCTAGTCATCCAAGTAAGTCACGAGTTTGAAAGGAAAAATATCCAACAGTTCAATATAATTGTTTTGCTTACGCAACTCTTGCAGTGTGGCGCCTCTGCAATTACATTTTCATTTTACCAATACTCTTTCTCATGTCCCGTGAGTCAAGCAATTAAGCAGAAAATAAAAATACTGAATCAAATAAATTATGTACAAATATATAACCAACTTCGTATATATCTATATATATATTTATTTTTATAATTCTTATCACCGATGTCAATTTTTTTTCTGGTGATTACAATGTAGAAATAAAACGTCGTAAAAAACTTTTCTCTGGTTCTTAATACATATCATAACGATACTTATTTCGGTACTTTTGCTTCGTTTTCTGAAGGTTCGTAACTTACGAAATAAGTATAAGAAATGTTGGTAGTTTGGAGTGAACATTCGTTTGGATATTAGCGATTTTTGACCATTGATAGTCACGAGAAAGGAAAAAGAAGTTTACGAGGTTTATAGACCACCTCCAAAGAAAGTCTGTGCTTCTGTTCTTGATGAATTTATGTGACATTTCCAACCCAAACACTTAACAATGCTTATTTATTATTATTGTTGAAATTGTCTTAAAATAATTTTCCAGTCCCTTTTCAACTCAGGTAAACTAAAATGTTACGCAATTTCATGGAGCCGGGCTAGAATTTGGTGCAATCGTCTTATCAATGAAGCTTATACATTTTGCATCACATTCCAGCATTGAAACTGTTGAATTTTCATTCAGATACTTTTATTTGCTCATTTTTTAAAGTTTTTTAAATAAGACTGTGAGAATCATAAATCACTCAGCTCATAAAACATTTTTTTTGGTGGTGAGCGAAAGGAAAGCGGCACAGAGAATTGAAAGAACGAATTTTGGTATGATTTCTGTTGTGTTGGATGGGAATTTTAAGCTACAAAAAGAATTTTATTCATACAATTAATTATTTCATTCACAATGATTTGCTTTTAAACACTCTTGAATTAAAATTCAGTTGGAATTGTGTAGATAGTTAAAAAATGAATTCACAGAGACGAGGCGACTTGAAAGAGACGCCTCTAACACTTGCATTTTTATAGTTTTATTTAACAACATGATCTTCTTCTGTTCATGCCTTTTTGATCGTAAAAGGATGCGTCAGAAAAAAAGGACATTTCATCGAGTCAATTAGTCGCTTTCAATTTAATTTATTGTTATTGCGCTTTTTTATTGTTTCTTTCCCTACTTACTGATTCATTCTTTCGTAACCTTCTTCTGTTAGTTTTTTAATGAACGATCCATAGAAAATCGATTTCATTGAGTAAAGAACCAACGAAAATTATAAAAGATCCATAGAAGGAGACCATTTATAAGATAACAAACGAAAAGTCAATGGGAAAATGATGACTTGTTGGCACGCGTGAAATGTTAATGTTTCTTTCCTTAACATTCATTCAGAGTTCTCTTCTTCGATTTCTTGTTTCGTTAGGCAATGAAGGCGAGACATGAGTTTAGGATATTTGACGTTTTCGAGAAGCGGTCAAAAGCGAATTGAAAACTAAGACGGAAAGTGACTTCTCAGATTCCAATCGGAGATAAGCTAGCAGCAGTATCGTTCCACCTCTACAGTTAATTAATTAATTTTTATTATGCTTTATCTCGTCGATGTCGTTTATTCTCTTTTGAAAACGGAAAGAACTCCTTCCGAGATGGTTATCGAGTGTAGATATAATTTAGTTGTTTCGAGCTTCTGGTTGTTGATTTTCATGTCTTGATTTGTTCAACGAGTTTCATTTTGAATATCAATTTTATTATGTTCATTTTCTTCGAATGAATCAATGACACTTGATGTTTGATTTAAGTTGATGTCCATTAAGAATTTCTTGAATAAAAACTTGACAAATTATCCCAAGAATTTATCACTTCTCATAAACGTCGCAGCTATTTTAAAGCGATAATAAATTTATCGATCATCAAAAACGAATCTTAACTTTATTGAATAAATTTAAATTTTTTAAAGTTTCCTTTTATAATTTTTCGTTCACTTGCCGCTCAGAGAAAAAAGCTTTTAGCGATTTTATTTTATTTCTTTTTTCATCTCCGACGAATTTCAAGAACTAAAATTGAATAATTTAGCAAACACAATTTGTACCTTTATCGATTCTGTCTTCGCGTTGACCATTTTTTCGTAATAAACTTTGATTTAATTCCACAATTAAATAAATTAAGAACTTTTTATTACAGAAAGAAAGAATGAAAAAAAATTATCACCCGATTTTTAGTTCGTTCAGATAGAAAATATCGAGCACCTAACTTTTCCAATCACAAAATTTCAAATGAATTGAAATAATATTTTTTATTTTGTATTCTTACTTATTTGACAAACTCTTTACTATATTTTCACGTTCAAATAGCTTTGTGGTATGAAATTGTACCTGATGTGTAGCGATGATTTTGTAGATAGCGAAAAAAACATACAAGCAAAGCTCTTTATGCCCTCAGATGTGTAAACGTTAACTGCTGTAAAGTTTATGATTATATGATTAAACTGTTCAAATGTATTCCATCATACAAACGCGCAAAACAATCAAAAATTATTTCAGAATCAACGTCAAAGGCAATAAAGACTTTTTTCTAACGTTATCTTATCAGGTGTATATGAGTTGAACAACAACAACAGCAATTACGGCAAAATGTGAACGATTCTAGTAAATGAACACTTATTACATGCTCTTTTTTGTTCTAAAAGCACGACGTGACTTTTCCATCACAACAGGTTCTTTCCTACAACTTTTCTTTGTTCTTTTATTTCTTAAAGAATTTCTATGTCTGTCATGATAATTAATTTAATAACGCAGAAAAAAGCGTTTATTTGAAGGCAGATTCTTAACACATTTAATTTCTTTAGTCCGAATTGTCGGAAAGAGTTTTATTAGAATTTGTCAAGGTTGAACTAAGGAAGTGAGATGCAAATCTCCTCTATCTACATTACAACAATTAAGAAAGACGAAAATTTCCTACAAGTTACAATGAAATGCTTTCAAAATGTTCAATTGAACGTGCAAATAATCTGCAAGTTGAAGAAGTTGTAATGTTCATTTGAGAAAATTCAAGTCATGCTTCTTTTCATATCTAATCAAGTCATTTAATACAACAATTAGATAATCATTATCATCAGCTGTATCTCTAGAATCATATCAAAAAACTGATACATTATCTGATTATTAATTTCATTTCAAGATATAAAATCGTAAGGAAAGTTCTGAGGACACTCAAAGTGCTCGATGAGCTCGTTACAACAAGCTCGTGTTCCATTTTAGTTGTAATCATTCATCATACACAATTTTCATATTAAAAAAATGTTATATAGCGGGGGAGAACTGGAGACGATGGAAAAGAAGAAAAACAAACAGAGAACGAGCTCTTATCTTATCAGTTGAATTAAACTCTGGAAGGTAATTTTATTTATATATTTTAACAGAAAAAACCTCTCGAGTTGCTGTTGGAATTGTGTGTTCTATGAGTGGCACCAAAAGTTGAGTTGTCTGATTCAACAACAAAAATATTACTTTGAATCTCTTTCTGGCAATATATGATGTGACTTTGTTGATCGATCATTTCACAATATTTTTCATATGAAATCATAAAACACTTCAGAAAGTAAATGAAGCCGTAAATTTAATAACAAGAAATCCATTTGCGACATTTTCTTCGCCATTGCCAAAGCTGCTTTAATTAAACCATGTCTAGCTTTTAATCCCTTTTGTCACAATTAGGCAGATGACGTACTCAACTTTTTCCACTTGTCAATTATTTATGTCAGCAAAAACAAAAAATTTTAATCGCACTTGAGTAGCTTAAAAAGTGTTCACAAAATGGCGTCGGCCGGAAAATTTATTTTCTCATTTGTTTCGTTCATTTTTCGACGTGTCAATTTATTTTTATGGCACCCTCTCAATAAGTTTTTTTGTCGATGAAGGCTTTTTTTCTGTTGTTTCATTTACGAATTTTTTTTATTGTTATTTATTGATTCTAATCGTTGGCAACGGAAATTTGTTTCTAAAATTTATTGGCTTTGTGTGGCTTATTGCAAAATCAATTGTTGTTATCTTTCTTATGATATTTAGACAAGGATTAAATATTGAGACTCACAGTGACACCATTTTCATGATGTTGAAATATTTAGATCACAACGTAGATTAAAACTAGGAATTGGAAAACTTTTTCCCTTTTTTCTCTTTGCTGATTACGCAATAAATGCACTGACTTTCAATCCACCAACTCTCATGACCAACTAATTTAAACGGGGAATGATTACAGATAACTATACAATTCTAGCTTCAAATGTTGGTTATATTTAAAAAATAATATCTCTCTTAGATAGTGAAATTATAATGATAAGTTAAGATATGTGATTTGATTTTCCTTTTTTCCTTCACTGTTAAACAGAAACAAGGTGGGAATTGTGATATAAGCAACATACTTGCTCTGCAAATATATAAATGAATTGAATCGTCTATCTTACTGATAAACTTTTTGTTAAACGACTTATTATCAAAATCGATAATTTATGATAAGTTTTTTTTCACCATGTGAAATGGTTGCGATGAAGACAATTAGTTGCAAAGAAGTTTAGTTAGTTTTTACTTATGCTTGTTCATAGTTAACGAATTATATTTGAAAGAAAAGATATCAACTTTCAGTTCTATTTTACAATGTTCTTGTCCTTTTGAGACGTGTATTCGTTTGTATTTATTCAAATGTAAACATCTGTCCGTATCTTTAACAGTGTCAACAACAAAACCTTTATCTCGACGAAAAGCGTTTTAAAGATAAAATATGAAAATTGTCCGATACGAATTATCGCAATATAGATATTCAGACATTTTTAGTTGTAAACCTTAAAGCAGTGCGTTGAGTTGGATTTAAAAATTTATGAAACTAGTTCAAATAGTGAAATTTATTGAATCTCAATCTTCTCACATAAAAAATAATTCGAGAAAGGTTAGCAATGAAATCATTGAAAGAAAGTCTCTTCTAGAATGAAGACATTTTGTACGAGGTGTGGCTGACTAATAGATCTGAAGAAAAAAAATATTTCGATTAACGAAATAAAATGTGACATGAAAAATTTATTTCAAAGGAATAAGGGCAGCTTTGACCTTTTATTTTATTTAGTAACAGGAAAAAGAACGCAAATGGCGGAACATAAATTTTCGATGAACAGTTCCACCTCGATAATGCAACGAGATAATGCTTTTAATTAAATGATTCCATCAAATTGATTGGCCTTAAATATGTGGGAAGAAAAATGTGAAGTTCAATACGACTCATTAATTTTGGTACTAAACAAAACATTAATCTTCAAGCATAATTTATTAGCTTTAAATGAAAATTGTTTTTTATTTTCATCATAAAAAAGAGAAAGAAGTTTAAAAAATTTTAACTCACCGCAAAAGCTGATTTTAGATATTTTTTGAAATATTTTATGAAAAAGAAGTTTGGATCATACAGTGATAAATTGCGACAAAAAATAGAAACTCGGATAATCACACAAAAACTACTTTATCTAATCTCCAACAACACTTATCTATATCAAAGACCAATCTTCAACTGATAACGAAACGGAATTTCATTGCAATGTGTGGTGCTTATGAGAAAGGAAAAAAAAGATTTTTTTATTTCATTCCAACCTTCGGTGTTTGCTTAAATATTCTATGTGTTGGTGATTTCATTTAATGAGGTGTGAAATATTTTACTTCCATTCGCAATTAAACATGAAAACACCGTAAACAGTTCACAATTATAAAAGAATAAAAAAAATATTTTATTTCATAATCAGATCGTATCAAAAATTCTTATTGAAGAAATTTAAGTTTACAAAACTTTGTTTATCTTTTATAATTTGCTCATCTCTTAAATAGTCACTTAAAAATTTATTCTTATGCTCAACAAATTCAGGAAGTTTTTTTCATAAATGTTCTACTACTTAAGTTATAAAAGAGAAATGAAGAGAAATTCTATATTAGTTAATTAAAGTGGTTAGAAAATAGTCGAAAACCTAAATATTTACATGATATTAATCTGAATTAACAAGAAGATTTTTTACTTCTTATAATAAAAAAAATATCTGAAAAGTTCTTATTGTCAACAAAGTTAATTAATGCAAAGCCCCCGAATATCTAATTCAATCAAAGCAAATAAATCTCCTAATCATAGGAAACTCTTCTTATTTACATTTTTGCTGATTTCCTTTCAATATTTAATTATCTAATTAAAAAGAAGAATGTTTGGAAGTACTTGTGATTTTTCGTGCGAGAAGAATATTTACAAACAATTTAATCTAAAAACAAATCATAATTTGAGTCAAAAGAAAATCATGTTCAATGTCATGACGAAAAATCTTATTTTTGTTTAATTTAAACTAATTTAATTAATTAATTATAGAGAGCAAAGATAATTTGTAAAAAAAAATATCAAAAAGGTTACACAAGAAGAAGAAAGTATTTAAAAACGTGAAAGTTATCTTGTTTCGATATTTGTCAAAGTTGCAAGTGTTTGGCGATGCTTAAGCTCTAAATCGAGAGCCTTATTGTTCTTGTCTGAATCTCCATTCAAAGCTCGAGCTATATTCGTATGAGCAATATGAGGTGATGATGCATTATCCATTTTAATTAAATCTAACACATTTGGGAAGTTTGCTTGAAAACACGTCGGCGAATGATTTATATCTGAGTTCATCATTGAAGTTTGCTGATATAAATGATTATTAATTGCTGGAAGTGGTGTAAGCTGTGGATAATTGATGTTGCCATTATTCGAGTTCTGATTCATTGACATCATACTACTTGAAGATGTTGTTATAACTGAGTTGTTTGAACTCATCGGCATACCAGCTGATGACAGTGGTGTCATTGTTGGTACTAAAAAAATAATTCAAAACATTTCTTTATTTATTCGAAAGTTAATGAATGTATTATGATACCCACTTGATGGAGTAATTGTTGTTAAAGGCGAAGGCACTTGAGATGTGTATGAAACAGGCGACAAATTATGATTAGTTTGATGCTGGGGTGTTCTTGATGGTGTTGTTGACGATGAACTGCTTGTTCCGGTTTGTGAATCAAGATTTGTGAGAACTAAATTTTTAGTGTTTTTGTTCTTTCGTTGATTAGTTCCATTTGTACCCATGAGATATTCTAGAATACACATGAAGCAAATATTTGTAAGATAAATAAATTAAAGTTCATAAAAATAATTTTCACTTACTCTTGTTTACTCCAAGTCCCGATGAATTTTTCGACGATTTTGAGGGTGGACCATCAGGATTTTTCATGCCTTTAGGTTTCCGCTTTCTTGTCTGCAAAGATATAAATTTACTATATTTGTTGTTTCACATAATTTATGTGCAATGATTCGTTACCTGAATTTGTTCTTTCTTCATAGTTATGGGGCGATTGACATTGTGTAATTTATAGTAGAGACCACATGCATTACATACAGGCTCTCCCTGAGCATTTCTACGCCATAGTGAAGTTTGTATGGTGTTACAATTGGAACATTTAAGTCCAGTTCGTCGAGTGGCAGGCTGTGAAATGAGAAAATTATCGACATTATTAAACGTTCAGAGCTTTGAGAACTTTCATAAAAATAACGGTTGTTGGAAATTCAAATAAAACTTTCAAAATATTTTTAACCGTTATTTTTCTGTTCTTTCATTTAAAATTTGTAAGTTTTGAAGACGAAAAACAAAAAAGCGGGATAAAAAATATTTTTCATCGTTTCATTGCAATGAAAGATTTGAAACCTACCGTGCGTCGCGATTGTTTCTCTTCTCGTGTCTGAGACGGTGCTTGATAGAGCATTTGGGGGGCTTTGTAACTTAGCTCACTCGACCCAGCCACTGGAAAAACATTTCAATGAGAATTGCATTTTAAAACTTTACTCTCTACTTCGAAGCTACGGTTTAGCAAAAATTAAAACTATTAAACAATCGCTACTTGAAACGGGCGGGCGGTGGTGTTCAAATTTTCACGCAATATGTCAAAAAAAATATTTTTTAATCCCACAGAAAAAAAAATTCATCTTAATGATGAAAAATTGTAATGAGAAAAATAAAAATTTTAAATGTGATCGTGAAATTTAATGATGAATCTACTTTGCTTACTAATCTTCTGGGCTGCTTAACAAGAGGCCGATTCATGCCATTCATCTTATGGTAAAGTCCACAAGCATTGCACAAGTAATGTCCCGTACCATCTCTTCGCCAAAGCGGAGTGCTGATCGCTCCACAATTCACACACTCACGTCCGATATCACATGAATCGTCGTAGATATATGCTTGCGTGTGCGTTACTAAATCTCATTGTGTCAAGAAATAAGGAATTTTAAAAATGCAGACCCAAAACAAAATAAATGCAATATAAAAATGTACAGAATAATAACCATAACAAAACTTAATTTACAAAATAAAGATTTTTCTTTTAAAAGACATAAACCACCCGTCCGTTTTTAAGCTTCCTTTTTGTTTCAGCTTTTAAGGCATGTTAAAAAATGCAACAACTACAAATTATCTACAACAACAAAGTCATTATCAAAAGGGAATCATTTTGAAGTTATGTAACGTGTTGTGACCATAAATTGGAATGCAAAATGACAAGCCATTGACAAATAAGGCCTACAATGTCACATGAAATGCAATTCAAAGTGCCGGATGTGGCCAGTAAAAAAAGCGCATGTTATGCTGACATTATATTCATGCATTCAGTTCCAGTGCAAAGAGAGAAAGATAAGAAAAGGATTCAATTGTATTAAAAATTAGTGGGAAGATATAATTTGATTTCATAAAAGCATTTAAGTAGTCACTTTATAGAGATGTTATTAATCATGAATATTCTTATTTTTAGTCATGATGAACGAATTATCTTTTCTTATAACTTTTATGAAACTCGTGAGAACAGAAATCTCTCCAGATTCATCTAATTTTTTCTTATCAACTTAAATTGTGAATGCTTGAAAAAACCTGAAAAATCTACAATGAAAAAGAGTAAACTGTTTTGAAAACAGAAAATTTATCCCGTCTTTAAACTCTTATCAACATATTTTATATGATTTGAAATGTAGAATGTAAGAGGTCAAATAGAATGGTTCATAATTCACCTCGCAGGTCAATCGAGATGAGAGACATTTTTAATTTCAAAAGAAATTTTTGAGTTTTTAATCTCTAAACTTTTTTTTTTTTTGGTGTTCATCATCATCATCATCGTTCATCATATTTTTTACATGTTTTGGTTTCATGATAAGAAAGGAGATGATTTATGATAACCCATTCATGAGTTTGTTGTTGTTTCAGTTCGATCATTATGTATACGAAAAGTAAAAAAGAATTAAATAAAATAACTTACTTGCTGAAAGTGACTGTGATGCTGGAAGATGTTGTTGTGATGGCCGACCACGAGTTGGTTGAGCAACAGCTGAATGTGTAAGTGATGTTAATGGTTTTGTATCATGACCATTTGCAGATGAAGATGATGACAAATATGTATTCCAATCATTCTGAAACATAATTTATGTTGATGATGATCATTAAAGTATTTAATTTAAACTAATTTACTTGTCCACAAAATGATGAAGTGTAATGCGGATTTTTGGGTTGACTGACAAAGCTTGATGATGTGAAGCGATGAAATTCAGGTAACTTTCCACCACGAGCTGATAGAAAATCTTCGTTTACGTTGACTGGCCACATAATGTGTTGCTGATCTAAACCCGGACTCATACTTGTCAAATATGATGATATTCCCGTTGTTGGTTGTGTCGTTGCCGGGGAGAAATTCCGTGAATAAGGACTGCAAAAGATTAATAAACAGACAATTTATAAGACCACCATCTCTATTTGTTTTCAAAAGAATCAAGTGTCAAATCATAACTTGCAAACGACATTCAGAAGCAAAAAAAGAAGGAAGAGAATCAGCCACAATCTCATATTGCGATCTGCTTATGTCCAAGTTATACAATGTTGGAATTTTATAAAACTTTTCTTACTTTAATTTATTTATTCGATGGAGAGAAGTCGAGACTTTCAACGTAGCGTTTCATTTAAGCACTATCAGATGTTTAAAGTTTTTTTTTGTTAGATGATTACTAGAAATGATTTTCAGACTTTGCGTCAGCGAAATCAACTTGCAAACTTCCTCGACATGATTTATGTTTATGGAAACATAGGAAACACATGAGAATTAAATGGAATTCCCAGAAGAATTAAAAAAATTTAGATGATTATTCATTACCTCCGAAACATTTCAGAAATTTCCCAGATTATGTTCTGCTACTCTTAAATATCAAACACTGACTAAATTGCAAATTTATATTCCTTCTTATCACTCAGATTAATGAATCTCTCTCATCGTAGATGTGATTTATATTTGTTTATCAATTTTGAGGGTGGATTTTAAACTGCAGCAACCAACCAACAATGATAAGACGCAATTAAAAGAAATTTTTAATTATAAATTTACGATGATAATTCTTATCATAGGCACAAAACGACTTTCGCAATCGAGTAAATTAAAGAGAAATATTTCGTTGACAAAAGGCAAAGGTTGTGTCACGACTGAACACTGAAGTCGACTTTCATTCTTTTCCTATTCGTAATATTTCATAATTTTCTACTTTAAAACGACACAACGACACAGAAAAAGTCAGCAAAAAAATATTAGCAGCAGCATTAAGTATTGTAATAGAGCAATCGTGATGTTTACTCATTCTCGCGGCATCAGAATTCATCAACAGAAACTGAAATAAAATTCTTTGGCGTCACGCAGCTCGATAGTTTTCAGCTCACTTTAAATATGTTTTTGTAATTCAACCAGCAACATTTCGACGAGAAATCCGGAAGACTCTTTTGAATGAACGACAACGATTCTAGTTACTTCAAAAAGCGACATGTTCTTATATCATGTAAATAAATGGAACTGCTGACATAGTCACATTTGATTGCGCACGTGCTAAAATATTATTTGGGGTCAGCTACCGGAGGATTTGACCGACGATTCTTACCACAGCTCGTGCTATTTTACTTCCTGTGAACATGCAGGTATCAGACACAAACTTTTTAACATCGCCCACAGATTGGCCCACAGAACATCATTCAATGTATCGAAAACGAAACGCTACCAACTACAACAAAATATCTCAAAGACATTTGAGAATGAAATTCTAAACAAAAGCAAACAAAAGTGACGAACATCTTCAGATTCATCCAGAAATGTCACGTAAACAAAAAATTTCATAAAAAGTGTATCACATTCTATTTATATTCGAGTTAAGCAATTAAATAATTGATTTACAAAAAGAAATTTGTTGCCAGATGAACATCATTAAATCTTATCATCATCCAAAATTTTTAACTTCTTTAGCCCGTGCACGGTTTCAAATATAATCTCAGCTTATCAGCTTCGCGTGACCTTTCACGAGAGTCTTTAAAAGTTATTTCTCGAACATAATATGACTTGAACATTCACCGATCAGATGAACATGAACGAAAGTGTCAACACATTAAGTATCGGTCACAAAATAATAAAAATCTTTCACTGATTTTAATTCTTTTCGTAATTTGATTATGATCACATAACAAGCACACTTCATGAAATAAAAGAAAGAAAGAAACTCACCTTGTTGGCGACAGCACATGAGTTGAGTCATAAGACATAATATGATCGGTACCAGGATTGGGTGAAGACGAGTAGATTCCATTTGTACGAGTCGTTAGATTTGTCAACTGTGTGAAACTTTGCATTCCACCATTGTCGTAGTCGTCATGACCATAGTCGTCGGGACTCCTCGAATTACCACCACTGCTCGTTGAATGATTATGAATGTAACTTCGTTGATAGTCATGGAGATGGTACAAGTCATGTGGTGCTGTCGTCGCGGCTGCATTGGTCAATGTGGTGTAGTTGCCAGCACTAACATCTTCCACTAAGAAATTATTTTCGTATTTAAATTCGTCACGAAAAACGTCTTCGATGGAGTGAAGATGAAGCGTTTGATCAATGTTAATGAATGAGTTGTTATTATTGTCACTGATATCGTATCCAGACGATGATGAGACGGATGAGGGTGGTGATAAAATGTCATTAAATTGACTCAGTGTCATTAAATTACCTTTCATTGTGCCCGCGTAAGGATTGTAATTATTGTTACGAAAGCTGAGGTTCACGTCACTTGTTTGAACACTGTTCTGACTCTGATATTGCACTGAGTAGTCTATTGATGGGATTCGATTTTTGGTCATTAAACTTGTTCTCGACAAGTCGTAAGGCCAATTGGATAAGTCACTACTCGTCTGATGATATTCGCCGAAGAAATTATTATTTTGATTTGCGTATGCTTCAACCGGTGCGTATATTGTTTCGTTTACACTCTCACGTTCGTTGTCGTAATCGTTTTTATCACTCGCGTTCACAACACTCAGTGTCGAGAGATTTAAATTGAACTTGTTGTTGACTGGTGATGGCGTTGAAGTCTTTAAATTTTCACTTTCTAAATTATCTTCCGATGTTTGGAGCTCCTTATCGTTCAAGAGATTCTCGGTGACTGATGTGCGAGTATTCACAACAACTGAACTTCCATATGATGTGTCTGGTAAAAGAAAAAAAAAAGTTTCTTTTTATTATTATTGAGCATGAGTGAGAGAGAATTCCAATACAACACAAAAAGTATTTAACAAAAGGCCTTTTCAAGCAGCAGAGCAAAAGAGAAGTCAACAGAAATACGAGTCGAACGAAAACAAAACATAAAGCAGAGAACGAAAGTAAATAAACGAAAGGAATTATTATGTACTAAGAACATTGAACAATGGGCAAATGAATCACAAATCGAGGCTTCAACTTCATCATTCTCTGTTATATTTTTTATTTTCTTTATTATCTGTTCGCTCTCGAGATCTTTTAAAAAATGGCGTTTTCAATAAAACTCTTTTCACCGTTCAAAAAACAACGATGAACGATGAAAAAACTTGATTTTAATTCAAACTCCACCCAAACGTGAAGCATGAATAATGTAATTGAAGATTAATTTTGAATAGCTCCGCCTTTTAATATGATACAATTGCGCAATTTAAATAAAATAAAAAATGTATTCACGACTAAGATAATCAGACGACATGCCGCCTTAACATTAAACTTGTCATTTCAACAACTTCGATAGAAAGTGCAATCAACGGCGTTTGTAAATAGAAAAAAAGTGTCCTGTTATCAGGCTATTGGCATTTTAGCGCCATTCCAGTGATAACAGTTGATTATGCTGTTTTTATCAGTTTACAACAACAAACTAGTATTTTCATTTTTTGATAACGAGTTTTTGAGGGAATTCCTCGTAATATTTTTGATAAGCTAATCTATGGAAGCTCGGATGATCAAGTGAGTTGCACGTTTTCCAAGCCATCGCTATCAATGAATGGGACATGCAAGTAACAACTATCTGTGAGGTTTTCTGCTCACGTTTCGTTTAAAAGAAATGATAAAAATTCTCACATCATAAAAGTTGATCAAGTGTAGAGCCTGTAAAATGGATACAGAAGATCGACAATCGAGAGAAATGTTAGCCAAGGTCCAGGATCGGCCGTAAATATTATTTTTATTGCACACATTAAATCTATCATTTCCCGTTGTTGTGACGATCGTTTGGGTCATGTTTTTGAAACCTTTTTCATATTTGAAACTTTTTTGTGTATTCATTGCATTGATGGGTAAATGTTTGGGTCCACTTTCGAACATGTTAAGGATAAGTGTAAATATTTGCGGGACATGATGAGTTTTTTATGACATCTCAAATTTCCATGTTTTTAGCAGTTGTCTAACTTTCATGAAAGTTCCATCAACTTTCTCACAATATCAACAGGGTCGAGTGGAAAGTGTTTAAATGTCATTGGATGAAAATAAATTTTTCATCATTAGTCAAAGTCTTGTTACGCAATTTCACTGACTTGGGTCGAAAATTTAATCAGAAATTTTCTTTACGTACTTACAAGAGACGACGAGAATTTCTGAATTTCAGATAGAAAATTGAGGACGAAGAAAAAAATAAAATACAGACTTGAAGAATTTATTGAGTTTGATCTTTCACCCTCGATGGATTTTGAAAGCTTGGAAACTGTGTTGGAAATTTATAACAAACAAAGATGTCAAAATAACAACCTCCAATGTATTTAGTTGTGAACGGTCGAACAAATGCGTTGCACTCAACTTCTATTTACAACTTTATGATGAGATCGCGACTATTTAGCTTGAATGTGAATTATTCATTGCTCAGCTTCAACTTTGAGTTCGCTCATTCCATCGAATGTGTTTTTGATTTATAATTACACATTTTTTTTTTATATTTATTCATAAGTAAAATAAATAAATGTCAAAAGTCGATGTGTAGTCAATTATGAAGCGAAAATATTTTATATAAAGAAATATAAAAATAAGCCAACAATTTATTTTAATGAGGTGGAATAAAAATTTTTTTTGCAGCGAATTTCTTTGAATACAATCATAAATATAATTTAATTCGTTTCTACGTCGATTGTTACTTGAATTTTAATTGAATGTGAACATAAATTGAATGAATTGATATCAATTAATGAGTAACACCACGTGGAAGAAGTTTCAACACTAAGCCAATGAACTAAAAGTTGCTTTTAGTTTTACTAATTAGTTTTATGAATTCAATTTTTAATTATTCTAGAATTGAGTTTACTGGCAATTTGTCAATGATCTCGAATTAAACGTTTATTGAATAATTACTTAAATATCTTCACAACAACATCTCAAACATCATCAAAATAAAAACGAGAAAATCTTTTTACCTCGACAAACTCATACTTGACTCATGCAACAAATCGATTCATAATTTAAACAAATAAATCATGTTTCGGGTCTTATGTTTGTTTCCTAATTTTTTATGGTTCAGAAATTATTTGGAAGAAAGTGAGTCATTTATGAAATAATTCCTGAGTTATGTTATCCCTTACATATTTATTTGTTATTTGTGGTTCAGTTCAAAGTTCATGGATCGGATTAAGGTGAATGTTAAATGTCAAGAGAAAGATTTCAAAGGGACTCTCAAATATGACTAGTGCATGGGCCATAAAAAAGTAATTAAGAGATGCTAAAACTGACTCATTTTACGAGCTCACAATGATGATTTGTAAATCTGATGATTAACAATAGGATTATGAAGGAGAGTAAATAAATAAAACAGACAAAAGCAAAAAATATTTCAACAATCAGGCTGCAAAATTATCATTCTCGGCATTTATTACTTTCTTTTTATGATGTTGCTTCAAGTGATTAAGAATGAAAGCTTCTGGTGAGTTTCATGACGATTCAAAATAAAAAAGTCGAAAAAAAAGGAATAAAATTGTTGATGGGCGTATAAGATCATTAAATATTCATAAACACATCATTCATGATTGATATCTGGTAAAGCAAAAGCAAATAAAAAAGAATTTTTGTCCGTTTAAAAATCTCTGCTTTTCATCTGCTAAACACATATGGAATAACTTTGATAAAATTTGTGGGATGATTAGGAAAAACGCCCCGTCGACTGAAAATATGAAAACAACGGATAAACGGTCAACAAAAGGATTTGACAAGAATTCTTCAACCAACATTTGTTTTGGCTTACGAACAACGAAAGATTTGCGTCAGAAGTTTTTTTTCCTTTTCCAATTTTACAAGCAAGCTGACATGAGACGAGTGGTCATAAATAAATCGAGGAAGGAATGTGAATGACTAGAATCTTTCTGATTTCGAGATTATATTTATGCATAAATAAACTTCATGCTTTGCTTTGAAATTATAAAAAAAAATCCCTTATCAGTATCGTCTCATTCTGAATTTTTGTAGAGAGGAAAAAAATTGTTTTGAAGCGAATGAACATTATTTTTATTTATACTTTCAGATGGAATAAAAAATTCTATTTTTAAGTGACTTACAGGATATGAAACAATACTGGTTGGAAATGGACTCCACACATGACTGACGACAGGAAATTGCTGAAGGAATTTTGATAAGATAAATGAACAACACAATGGACAAAAACAATTTCTTGGCTTTCCAACTCTACGCAATTCTTTCGTTTTTAAAAAAACTTTCACAGTCAATTAAATTTATGTAAATTTTGTGCCATACTAAACATAGAACAATAAACGGTTTTGTCTTTGCGGTCATGAGATGCGCTTATTCTGAATAGATATTCAATGTTTGAAAAGGACATTTCATCAATTAGTTTCAGGTAGAATGAAAAATCAGGTTTGAAGTGTCATGAATGAAAGAGTGAAAACTTCTTCGACATCCACACGTGTTAATGTTTATATTAGAAAGCTAATCTCAAACAAACTGATATTTGATACTTTTCTTAGTCCTAAACTAAAACAAAAAACCCAAAATTCAATAATTCTTTAAATCATGCACGTGACTTTGATTGGACAAGCTTTTAACTTCAAAGTATTGAACATCATTTTACCTGTAAATTGTTTCTATGTAAACAATTCATTCAACGATGATTGCACAAACTCATGACATTCAAATTCCTGGACTTGAGCTACCACTTGCCAACGAACTAATTTCACAATTTTTCGCGGACAGAAAAAAAATTAATTTTCGAGCTGCAATTTGTTTCGCAAATGTTTTCCTCGCTTGCATCGCACCAAAAGTCTTGCGAAATAAACTTTTAGTTTTTGTGTTTAAAACCGCACACATTTTCGTCACAAAGCGAAAATTAAAAAGTAATTCTGCGACGTATGCATTCGATGTTAAGAGGAGAATTAATGCAGGCATAATGCGGAACCAGGAGTGAAGTTTAGACATTAACTCTTTTCAGGTGTTTTTGAGTTCCAGTTTAAAGATCGTAAAACTCGTTTTTGTTACACTTTTGTGAACTATTTTCATTCTTCATTATTTCTATTGAACTTGAACAGAATTTACATGAGAATTATCCACGAATCGTGATGGTGCAAATATCCAATTCACATTATGCGACAACTTTTCATCATTTATTTTGCTTTTCTTTTCACTTTCTAACGGTTTCATTTGTTTATGTTAATTTTGATTGAAACTAGAAATATTTTCATATCAATACACTTCAACAAGAAATTGCCGTCGCGAAAGAAGCAAAATTCAAATCAATCAAGAAAAATGTCGTCTACACTCATTCTTATCCATTCGCTTTGACTAAAATTTTCAAACTGAACTTGAAATGAAAACTTGAAAAAAGTGAATTTTCTTATCAAAATTATTTTTTATTATATTTCCTCGGTTATCAGGAGGAAAAAATTTCAAAAACTGCATGTATACAAGTAGCGATTAGACAATCTTACTCAGCAAAGTTTATCGCAGGAGTTCCCTACTCGGTTATCTTTGACAAAACACATGAAGGGATTCCGCGATAATAAAAATTAATGTATGTGTAAAAAAGTGAATTATTTAAGTCTCGTTTCGTCTCGTCATCGATGTTTTGATAACAAATTAAAGTACAAATAAATTATCACAAAGACCAACAACTCTTTCAATTTCTTTAAATTGTTCACATCACTTTGACGATTGTTATTATTTATAAGCAATTCCGATATGTTCACTTTTATCAATGAAGTTTTATCATTTAGTTTCAACTACTACCAGAAGTTGCTTGCACATGTGTAAAGGGAATTTGTTTGTTAATTTAGCGATAAAACCTTTGGATGTTTATAATGATTTTTTGTTTAAAGTTTAAAAACTTTTTAGTTGCTACTAAACTACTTACCGTCATCCATACTGTGGCAAATATTTATAATTTGGAAGTTGCTATTGTTTTATAAGTGTATAAAATTAAGAATTGATCTAAAACAATCACACAAATTAATGAAGTTTTATATTAAAATTATAAAGCAGGAATAAAAGCTTTTCAACAAATCATTCGTCTGACAGCACAAAACTCATGAGAACTTTCTTGGAGTATAAATTGTAAACTAACTGTTTCAACTTTATACATAAAACTTGTGAGAATTTTCGTTATTTGTTGCAAACACAACAGAAAAATGTTGTATTTGCCTCTGGTTGTAGAAATAAATAAAAAAAAATGAAAAAGAAAAATAAATCCCAACCGCTCTCTACATTGGAGCGCCGAACAAAATGGCTGTTTGGAATTAAATAAATATAAATGTGTGTTCATTTAATATAGAATAATGTACACGCTTGGAAGAATCAGAATGTAGAAAATAAATTTTGTTGTATATAATAGTCATCGTGATTGTCACTGGTGGTTTTTAAATACATAAAAAGAACATTGAGATTCCTTTATGGAAATAAATTCTGCAATTATTATTTTGTACCAGTTAAAATTTCATCAATTAATGAAAGAAGAAGATAATTATGATTATTTAAAGCATGGATAAATCAGCTAGTTTTATTATCGTTCATTCATGTAAACAAAACCAATTAAAGTGATCAGTTTATGTACTGTTCACACACGTAGCCTAGCTGAACTCACTACATTCACTATTGTAATGATGACGTGAATTGTGTTTGAGTGTTTTTATGGTTCATTGTGATACTCATTTGTGTTTTTGTGTGTCGGAAGCTTCTGAAAAAATTGAATAAAATAAAATTTACATTTAAATATTTGTGTTCAAAGGACTTTAATAAAATGAATGCGAACAATGTGAAAGTTCGAAGAGCGACTTTAAGTGACGTCGCACAAATATTGGAAATGATTCAAGTCAGTTTGTTATTAAACATTGAATGGAATGATTTGAATAAAAATAAATGTTTTCATAGGAATTGGCTGACTTTGAGAACATGTCTGATGGTCCTAAATTGAAAGCAGCTGATTTGATACGTGATGGAAATCTTGATGGATCATCGAATAATCAACTTTTCTACAGTTTCGTTGCTGAATATAATGACAATGAGAATCAATTAAAACTTGTTGGTTATTCGATTTCTTACTTCTCATACAGCACATGGCAAGGCAAATCTTACTTTCTTGAAGACATTTACGTCAAGCCAGATTATCGAAAGCTTGGTGTTGGTAAAAAGCTTTTCACAACTAATGTAAAATTCGCTCTCGATGAGCATTGTAGTCGTTTCGACTTTCATGTTCTTAGTTGGAATCCTGCGAAAACATTTTACGAGTCACTTGGTGCAACGAATTTAACAGCATTGGAAGGTTGGGAATTTTTCAGATTGCCTCAGACAAAAATGGAACAACTCGTTGCAAACATGTAACAAACATAAACTTCTGACCTTTCAACAGCAAGCGTATCGTTTTCGTAGGTCTCAGCAGTTTATTGACTGAAATTTTCCTCTACAGACTTTTGTTGACCTAAGCTGATAAGAAAATCAAATATAAAAGAAAAGGAATTGTCAGGCTGCTTTTTTTATTTCTCTCTTTCAAATATGAGTATTTAAATATTGATGGTCGATCAAATATTTGGATCTGTCTCGATTCATTTCTCTACCTGATTTATTATTTTCTCTTTTCCTCATTTTTTTTTTGAACGAAATTTTTACATAAAAATTTAATTTATTACTAAGAAATATTTTTATGTTCTCAAATTACATTGTCAGTTTCCATAACGTTATGCTCATCTCTCAGATGTTCACGAAGCTTCCACACTTTAAAGAATTTCTGAAAGTTTATAAAACAAATTTAATTCTCAATCAATTTGAATGAATTTATTTTATTTCAATACCTTTGAACAAATTGAGCATTCTCGGTTGACACTTTTCCTTTTCTCTCGATAGTGCACATGCTTTATATGTGCAGTAACATTATAGCTGTATAAGAATTTTTTATCACAAATCGAACACTGAGAGATGAAAATAAACATAAAAAAGAAATTATTTTGTAATAAAACTTTTCTAATTAATCAACGAAAATTTACCTCAAAGTTTCTTTCGCCTGTGTGACTTTTCATATGTCGATCAAGTTTTGCTTTTGTAAGGAAAGTGATATCGCAAACTTCACAAACAATAGTTTTGTAGTCGAGTCCAGTGTGTGTTGATCTATGTGCTGTTAGATGACTTTTTGTAGCGAATGTTGCTGAACAAAACTCGCATGAAAAATCACGAATATTAAAATGTGCGAATTTCATGTGACGAGATAATTCAGGCTTTTGAGTGTAACTTTTACCTAAAATTATTGCAATATAATTAATCAATAATATAGTGTTTAAATGTGAATTAAATGCTTACCACAATAATCGCAATAAACATAAGTTGGATTGTGAACTCGTTTGTGAGCACGTAGACAAGCTTGCGTTTTGAAGGCTTTGCTACAAATCTGAAACAGACTGTGTGAAAAATACGAATCAACTGTAGAAATGTTTTTGATTTTACCGGACAAATAACATTACGAACTGTAGTATGAATTAAACGGTGTGTCCTTAGTTTGCTTTTCTCTTTAAATGTTTTGAAACAAATTTCACATTGATGATTTTTTTTTTTGCTTTCAGTCTCTTCAAATGTTGAGCTCTTTTCTTTCAAGAAGGGAACACGTTTGGAATCATCATCCCATAGTGTACTTATAATATATTCATTTTTTGGATAACTTCCTTCTTCTGCTGATTCCATATACATTTCAGCAATGCATTCATTTGAAATTTGAGAAGCTTCATAAGTGTCAATAGAATTATTGATCTCTTCTTGTGCATGGAATTGATCTTCCCACGTATCCTGTTTTTCTTGTTTTATATTATTACCATAAGCTTCACAAGTATTTTGGAACAGTGAAGACAGCTCAGCTTGAATTTGTTCTGCAACAGACCTGTGTTCATCGTACTCATTGAATTTTATTAAACAATTCTGACAAATTCCAGCTTCATCAATGATCTCTTGAGATAAATTTATGTTCGTGAAATTTTCTGAAATATTTTGAGAAAAGAAAAAGTTAATTTCATTATTTTATTAATTTATTTTAAATCCTTGCCTATTAACTGGTATATGGTTTTCTCAGAATATCCTGTTGACTCGGTTAATTCATTTTTAAAGGATCCCATAAATTCGCAGCAAATAAAACAGTTTTCAAGACTGTATGCTATTAATTTCGACATTCCAAAGATCTCTGCAATTTGAATGTTTTCGTACTAAATAATTTCTTCAATATATTTAATTCTTGTTTCTTTTAAACTTCTGAATAAAAGGAGCAAGAAGTTTTGTTTACGTTTTTAAAGCCACAATCAAATAAATTTTTGAAAATCGTATAATATCTGTTCTAAACTTTTTCTTCTAATTATGATGAATTTAACGATTTTTATTTTCAAATTAAAACCGTTAAATTTTAGTTGTATTGTAACGATTTGATGAGCAATAACAAATTAAAAATTGTTAGCTTATGATAAAAAATTTGATTGGTTTGTGTTTTATTATAAGGATCATTTACATTTATATTAATAATTATAGTTGAATTCATTCGAATTTATCACAAATGTTCTTTTTAAACAAACTTTGTTTTAATGACATTTTCTTCATTAGCTTTAACGATTTCATGTAGGTACCTATCTACTTCATGTAAATTTAATTTTGTCTTTCAATTCACTTCAGGTTAATTTTTCGTTTTTGGTTTTGGGTTTAGTCGTTTCTCATGGACATATTTCATATGCGCGTTAAAATAGCTGTGTAGAAACATTTTTCCACAAATTGGGCACTGTCAAGAATTTATTAGTTATACTCTGCTCAAAATATAAATAGGTATTTTAACAAATTTTACCTCATGATTTCTTTCTCGGGTATGTGATTTCATGTGTCTTGTCATGTTTGCTCTTTCGACTAAAATTCACTAAAATAAACAACTTTTTCTTGAAATGAAAGCAAATTTCTTACAAGTTTTAAAACCACAAAGTTCGCAAATATTTCGTTCAATAAGATGATACTTCATATGCCGTCGGAGTGTTTTAGATTCTAAGAAAGCTTTTTCACAGATCTGAATGATAAAATTTAAATTTATGAGATGAAATTTAGTTTTAAAAAATGTTGTTCATACTTGACAAATATAATCCCTTTTTTCTAATTGATGAACTTTTTTATTGATTTTTTCAAATGTTGAGCTCTTTTCTTTCAAGAAGGGAACAAGCTTAGATTCATTGTCCCCTAGAGTAGTCATGATTTTTTCATTTTTTGGATAACTTCCTTCTTCTGCTGATTCCATACACATTTCAGCAATATATTCATTTGAAATTTGAGAAGCTTCATAAGTGTCAATAGAATTATTGATCTCTTCTTGTGCATGGAATTGATCTTCCCACGTATCCTGTTTTTCTTGTTTTATATTATTACCATAAGCTTCACAAGTATTTTGGAACAGTGAAGACAGCTCAGCTTGAATTTGTTCTGCAACAGACCTGTGTTCATCGTACTCATTGAATTTTATTAAACAATTCTGACAAATTCCAGCTTCATCAATGATCTCTTGAGATAAATTTATGTTCGTGAAATTTTCTGAAATATTTTGAGAAAAGAAAAAAGTTAGATAATTTCATTATTTTATTAATTTATTTTAAATCCTTACCTATTAACTGGTATATGGTTTTCTCAGAAAATCCTGTTGACTCGGTTAATTCATTTTTAAAGGATCCCATAAATCCGCAGCAAATAAAACAATTTTCAAGACTGTATGCTATTAATTTCGACATTCCAAAGATCTTTACAAATTGAATGTGACCGAACTATCCAAATAATTTCTTCAATATATTTAATTCTTGTTTCTTTTAAACTTCTGAATAAAAAGGGCAAGAAGTTTTGTTTACGTTTTTGAAAATAGAATCAAATAAATTTTTGAGAATCGTATAAATCTGTTCTAAATTTATTCGTCTAATTATGAATTTAATGATTTTTTCAAATTGAAACTGTTAAATTTGAGTTGACATTGTAATAGTTTGACCAGTGTTCATCAAAAGATTTTTCGCATTGACAAAAGAGTAGAAGAAATGTTAAATTTTTATTATTGGAAAGATTCAATTTTTTATTCGTAAAACAAAGATTAATAATATTCAAGTTTGCTTGATAATGTTTTTCAACTTTTGTCAATCAATAAGTTTTATTTTGTCACCTTTCCACAAACGGTACAAGTCAGTTTTTCTTTTTTGGTTGTTTCCCATGGACATTTTTTATAATCATCTTAACATTATGACTGCGTACAAACATTTTTTCACAAATTGGGCACTGTCAAGAAGTTATAAGTTATAATCTGCTCTAATTATAGACATTTAAGCAAATTTTCAAAATTTCTCTCTCTGATATGTGAATTCATGTGTTTTGCCATATTTGGTCTGTTCACTAAAATTTATTAATTTAATTAATAACTTTTTCTTGAAACGAAAGGAAATTTCTCACCAGTTTTGAAGCCACAAACATCACAAACAATATTTCGTTCATTTTTATGATACTTCACGTGCTGTCGAAGTGTGTTATCTCTTGAAAAAGCTTTTCCACAAATCTGAAAGATAAAATTTTAATTAGAAAAGAAATTTGTTTAATAAAAAATATTTCTCATACTTGACATATATGATCCTTTCTCATTAAATGAATTGCATCCTGAAATAATTAAAAAATTAGTTATTTAATTTCTTAATAAATAATTTATCAATTGAGCTTACCATATGACAACGAAGTTCATGTTTTCCTTTGGATCGAAATGGGCACAGGTTACAGTAATAAAAGATATTTTCATGACGTTTCGTATGGCTTCTTAAATTTTTTGATGTTTTAAAACTTGCTCCACATAATTTACAAATAAAATTGCGTTCAGATGTGTGAATTAATTTGTGCCTTGCTAAATTTTTTCGTGCTTTGAATATATTCTTGCCACAAATCTCACATTGGTAACGCTTCATGCCGTCCACCATAATTACTATCAATCCCTTATCTTTATCTTTTTCTTTTCGCGAGTAGCTTGGTTTATAGTTTTTAATCTTTTCAGGTAATTCAACTTCAATTTCAACGATAGCGTCACCAATATTTTCTTTCTCCTCAGTTTCAATGCTTGTTCCATCCTCAAAACTGTAATCTGTGCAAGCTTTTTGTGCTTGAAAATACATCGTATGAATTTTTTTCTGAATCTGTTAAGCTTTTATTAATTTTTTTAACTTTTTACTATCTTCTGTTGATGAATTCGAATAAACAGTCGTGTGTAAGGTTTTAAAAACCTTTGATCAAATCGTATTTCCGAGAATCGACTTTTCAAATCTAACCGTTAAATGACTGCTGACATTTGAAAGGTTCGAAGAATAACAAAAAAGAATTTAACACGTGAAAAATAAGAAAAGAAGGTTTGTATCTAGGTATATATTTTATGTTTAGGATCATTTACATTTTATTAATAAAACTAAGATTAATATTATTCAAGTTTGTAATAAATATTATTCTTTAAACTATAAGTGTTTCTGTTTTGATGTCATATTCTTCATTAGCTTCAACGATTTGATGTACTTCCGCCATATGTTCTTTAACTTTCCATATTTTTTGGAACCTCTGTGAATTGAATTTAATTATTTTTCAACTCAATTCACTAATTAAAAAATTTAATGTCTCACCTTTCCACAGACTGTACAAGTTAATTTTTCTTCGTTTGTTGTTGGTCGTTTCTCATGATAATGGACGTGTTTTATATGCGCAGTGACATTATAGCTGTATAAAAATCTTTTCCCACAAATTGAGCACTGTCAAGAAGTTGTTAAAATCTGCTCTAATAATAAACATTTGCAAAAGTTTTACCTCATAATTTCTTTCTCCAGTATGTGATTTCATATGTCTTGCCATCTTTGGTCTGTTCACTAAGATTTATTAATTTAATTAATAACTTTTTCTTGAAACGAAAGGAAATTTCTCACCAGTTTTGAAGCCACAAACTTCACAAACAATATTTCGTTCATTGAGATGATACATCAAGTGCTGTCGAAGCGTTTTATCTCTTGAAAAAGCTTTCCCACAAATCTAAGTAATTAAATTTTAATTTAAGAAAAGAATTTTTTTTATGAAAAAAATGTTTTCATACTTGACATATATGATCCTTTCTCCCTAAATGAATTGCATCCTGTATTAATTAAAAATTAAGTTATTTAATTTCTTCATAGGTAATTTAATCAATTGAGCTCACCATATGACAACGAAGTTCATGTTTTCCTTTGAATCGAGATGGGCACAGGTCACAATAATAAAAGATATTGTTATGTAGTCTCGAATGATTTTTCAAACAATTTAGTGTTTTAAAACTTGCACCGCATGTTTGACACATAAAATTTCTCTCAGATGTGTGAATTAATCTGTGCGTTTTTAATCTTGATCGTGAATTGAATTCTTTCTTGCCACAAAATTCGCATTGATAACGCTTCATACCGTTCACCATAATTACTATTAATCCCTCATCTTTATCTTTTTCTTTTCTTGAGTAGCTTGTTTTTCTTGGTTGCACCAGAACTGATGATGATTTATTTGTTTTATTTTCAACCTTAGGGGTTTTCTTTTTGGGCACATACTTTTTACTATATTCGGGGAAGTCAACTTCAATTTCTTCAACGATAGTGCCACTAACATTTTCTATTTCTTCGTAAAGTATTTCTTCTTTTTCAATCTTCACTTCCTTAATATTGTAAGTTGTGTAAGCAGTTGGTGTTTGAAAATACATCCCAAGAAGTTCTTTCTGAATCTGTTGAGCCATGGTTTGATGTTCATCATACTCGTTGAATTTTATGAAACAATTTTGACATATTCCGGAATTTTCAATAACAGATTCTGGGAGTTTCTCTTGAAGAAAATTTTCTAAACAAATCAAATATGGTAATTTTTAACACTCTTACTTGTAGCTCAATGAAGCTTGTATTTATAAAACGAAGCCTTACCTAAAATTTGAGAAATTTGTTTTTCAGAGTATCCCGTAACTACGGTGAGTTCATTCTTAAACGGCCCCATGTATTCACTGCAGATGTAGCAATTATCATTATCCTTTATTTCAATTTTTTCCATTTTCTTATAATTTAATTAAAATTTAAATGAGAATTAAAAATTTGTTGTTTACGTTTTTTTCCTTTGCAGAAAATGGTCTAAAACAAGTTGAGAAATTATGTGGCTATGTGAGGAACAAAATAACCACTGCCGTACTAAATGATGACGTTTAGACAAAATTTGTCACGTCATGTTTTTCTAAATTTTAATGCTAACTTCTAAACGGTATAACTTAATACTGGCTTCTTCTAAACTATAAACAACAAAATTTTACCATTTAAATATTCAAAAGCTTTCAAAAATGGAGAAATTTGAGTACGTAACAAGTGAAAATTGCTATATTTGTGATGACATAATGGATTCATATAAATCGGATCTTACAATTGCCAGCGGATTTTCAGAAAAACCTATTTTTCAATTAATTGGTAAACTTAGACATTTTTAGGCCTTAATCGTAATTTTAATCACGTTTATTTGTATTTCAGAAACATTTACAAACACTTGCATACCTGAGGACATAATCAACGCATCAGGAGTTTGCATCAATTGCTATGTTAAACTAAATGAATTTGATGAACATCAAGCAAAAGCAGAGCAAATAAGTTGCGAATTAGTTGAACTTATGAACAACAAATATGTTTTATATGAAGAAGGGTTTGATATCAATAAAGTCAAACAGGAAAACGAAAGAGACCAAACGCATGAAGAGATCATTGAAGCCATTGAATTTGAACCATTTGAAGAAGGACAATATGCAACAATGGCCGAGGAAGGTCTGGAAGAGGAAACAGGAGACTCCTTGGTTGAGGGGATCGATGGTTATCATTTTGAAATAATTGTTGATGATACAAAGGAGAATGTGAAAAAGGAAACTAAGGCAACATTTTCTCGAAGTAAATTCAAAGCCGAGACCGGTAATGAATTCGTTGTTGTTCAACTTGAAGACAATTCAAGAGCTTATCAATGTGAGACATGCTTTAAAACTTTCAAGGATAAGAGTAAATTACGTAGTCATCGTGAAATTCACACCGATGAGAGAAATATTATTTGTCCTGTAAATATTTTAGAATTTTAAATTGAATCAATACAAAATAATGTGAAAATAATTTATTTTAGGATTGTGGTAAAGCATTTAAAACCATGAATTGTCTGCGAAATCACAAAAGATTACATGTTCCAGACAGAACATATTACAACTGCGATCAATGTGAAAAGAAGTACACACAAAAGGTTTGTTGAATGAGTTTGTAACAATTGTCTTCATCTTTTTTTGTTTTACTTTGGAAATTTTCTCTTTACAGATACAATTGAAGAAACATATTGAAATTGTTCATATGCAACGAAGAGATTTTGTTTGCACAACTTGTGGAGCCAGTTTTGGAACTAACAGCGTTCTCAAAATGCATCTTCTTAGTCATCAAGATTTTAGAGCTGAGTGTTGTGATGTGAGTTATTAAAATTTCTTTTATTTATAATCATCAACTGATGTTAATGATCTCATTTGAAAGGTTTGCGGCTTTCGATTCCATACAAAAGCGAAACTTCGTAGACATATGAAAAGTCATACGGGGGAACGCAATTATCAGTGCAACATTTGCTGCAAGAAATTCTTATACAGCTACAATGTTGTTGCACATATTCGGAATGTTCATGAGAAAAGGAAGAAACGCGATGCTATGTTGTTCCATTGTCGTTTCTGTACTGACAAATTTGAAGTTCCCGAGCAACTTGACGAGCATATGGAAGAATGTCACAGTGGACTTTACGAAGTGGTCGAGTAATAACATTCTTTCTCATTTTTATTCTTTCTCATTCATTTAATTATAATTATGATGTATCCCAGGTAAATAAAAAAAGCAAACAATATCAAGTGAATAATATAACAAAACATTAAACAAATATTTAAATGGAGTCTTATTTGGATTTACCTAATTCATTTTAAAATTTCTTTTTATTTATACAACTGACCGTTAGTTGATGACGGTTTAAGTTAATAACTGAAAATTCAAAAATGGACAAACAGACAGTAATAAACTTCTCAAGATTATCTTAAATTTGATAATTTGTTGTTATTTATTTAATGTTTATCAAAGCAGGCACTTAAAAATCAAAAAAAAATAATACCTAATAATTAAAAAATCGATTCAATCATTGAAAAGATTTAGAAGTCAGTGAAAAATATGAGGTCGTGGGTTTGGGAACATTTCGTTAAGAAAAGTGAAAATATCGCTACTTGTAAAATATGTGAAAGAGATATAAAAAGAAATGCATCTTCGACAAAAGCAATGATCAATCATTTGCTTTTACACGACCTGAAAGATCCGATGAAGAAACAAAACGAAATTGATTTCAATGAAGCAAATGATTCCCAGCTTCAAGTCAATTCAACAGACCTTGTAAGTGAGCAGGATTCGCAAGATTCTCAAAATGTTTTGAGCTCTTCTGTGGACGGACAATTGACTTATGAGTCAATGTCAGTGAAAATGATGAGGTCGTGGGTTTGGGAACATTTTCTTAAAAGTGAAAACATCGCTACTTGTAAAATATGTCAAAAAGAAATTAAAAGAACTGCATCTTCGACAACAGCAATGATCAATCATTTGCTTATACACGACCTAACAGAACCGATTGTGAAGCGACAGTTGACTGAAATGCCAAAGCCAGTGAAAAATTTGAGGTCTTGGGTTTGGAAACATTTTGTCAAGACAGGTGAAGATATCGCTACTTGTAAAATTTGTCAAAGAGACATAAAAAGAACTGCATCTTCGACAACAGCAATGAGAAATCATTTGCTTATACACGATCTAAAAGATCCGATGAAGCAACAAAACGAAATTGATATCAACGAAACAAGTTCAACAGACCTTGTAAGTGAGCAAGATTCGCAAGATTCGGAAGATTCAGAAGATTCGCACGATTCTCAAAATGTTTCGAGTTCTTTTGTTAACCGCCGCTTGAGGATGTCAATGTCAGTGAAAAATAAAAAGTCATGGGTTTGGGAACATTTTGTCAAGAAAGATGAAATTATCGCTACTTGTAAAATTTGTCAAAGAGACATAAAAAGAAATGCATCTTCGACAACAGCAATGAGAAATCATTTGCTTTTACACGACCTGAAAGATCCAATGAAGCAGCAAAATGAAATTTATGTCAACGAAGCTTTCAATTTCCAGCTTCAAGCAAATTCAACAAACCTTGTAAGTCAGAAAATTTTGCATGATTCTCAGAACATTTCAGAACATTTCTAGAAAAGATTCGTAATCGATTAAATCTTGAAAAATTGTATTTCCTTACATGACTTAAAAAATATTTAAAATCAGTGAGTACTCGTTACGTCCAAAATCCCGAATTTACCTTCCATAATTAAGTAAATAATTTAACAAAATATTATGAAGGTTTATTTGTATTTATTTCATTTCATAATTTTTTTTAATTTAAACAAGTTATCGAATCATTGATAAAAAGCTTTAAGGAAATTTTTAAACGTCATCTGATGAAGCTTGCGATTGCGAGACTTGTCGCTTCTTTCTTGGTATTCCATAGTGAGTTTTGACATGAGCAGTTAGATTGTAACGTTCAGCAAATCGACTTCCGCACTCTGAAATTTAATTAATTAAAAAAACTAATTTAATTATTATAAAATTGAACTTTACCTGGACATTTGTGATCTCTCTGTTTTGTATGAGTTTTCATATGACGATTCAAATGTGATTGCGATCGAAAACTTTTAGTGCAAATTGAGCAAACGTAATCTCGAACATTGAGATGATTTTTCGTATGTGCTTGAAATGAGCTAAAGAGTGATGTCGAGAAATATAAATAAATCATTATAATGATAAAATTAATCTCACCTATAATGAAAGAATGTTTTGCCACAAAACTCGCAGATATGAGGACGACTCGATGCTGATGAATGAATTCCAAAATGCCTTCCAAGCAATGCTTTGGTTGAGAATGATTTATTACAAACTGGACATTCAAAGGATGATGAAGAAGAATCATTGGGATGTTCAACAACGTAGTGTAATTTTAATTCCATTTCACTGACAAAAATTGTGTCGTCACTGCATTTTGAACATGTGAAGGTTTCAGCGTTTTCTGAACAAATATTGCAAGTATGATTGGTACTCGATTGCTTTTTGTATTGAATTTTTTGGCGATGGTTTTGTGTCAACATTGACGGATTTTTTTTCACTTTCTTGATCATTTGAATAATCATCAACATACTCGACAATTATATCTTCACTATCAAAAAAAATGGATCCTCNGGATGTTCAACAACGTAGTGTAATTTTAATTCCATTTCACTGACAAAAATTGTGTCGTCACTGCATTTTGAACATGTGAAGGTTTCAGCGTTTTCTGGTAAATGAGCCAACTTTGCATGTATTAAATATTCATTCTTTTTCTTAAAAACTTCAGAACAAATATTGCAAGTATAATTGGTACTTGATTGCTTTTTGTCTTGAATCTTTTTTGGCGATGGTTTTATGTCAACATTGACGGATTTTTCACTTTCTTGATCATTTGAATAATCATCAACATACTCGACAATTATATCTTCACTATCAAAAAATGGATCCTCCTTAAAATTAGAGTCATTGCAAGGAGTTTCATAAAGACTTATTTGTGTTTTATTGAAATTATCAGCGATTTCCTCTTGAATTTTCGAAGCTCTAAGACATATTTCGTCATATTCTTGCAATTTTTCATAACAACCGTCACAAATTTTAGCAGGACATTCATTTGATATCACTGATTCTTCAAACTTTTCGTCAATAAATGATTCTTGAAAAGAGAACGAAGGAGATAAAGATTAAATAAGATAAAACTTCATTTAAAAAGTAAACATTCTCACCAATAAATTCATAAATAAGTTTATCACTTATTTCTGTTGTTTCCAAGATTGTCTTTCCCTTTGAATTCAAAACATTTCCACATATAAAGCAATTGAGGTCAGGAATAATAATTTGTAACGCCATTTTTTTTAGTTTAAATCTTGAAAATTTGAAAGTTTTATATTTTTGTGATAAAATTTTGTTTTCAAGAAAAGGTATAA